CCCTGGGTCCCAGCAAACCTCGGATTACCATCTGCCCAAGTCTCTGCTTCCTCCCGCTGGAAGAGCTGGAAGGTCCAGCAGAACCCGAGCACAGACATCCTTTCCTCAGCCCCGCCCCCATATTCCTCTCAACTGCGTAATCCACTGGCCAGAAAGTCCCTTTCGAACCGGCCCCCAGGTCCATCACCTGATGGGTGCCACTCCCGACCCACATGCCTCAGTGTCCACGGACTCTCTCCTCCACCTGCCCGTGTCCCCAGCCACGTGTCACACAACGAAACCGAACAGGGACATTCATGCTTCCAGAGCCCCAACCTCACACCTGACACAGTGCTGCTGGGTTCAGAAACATGCCAGGAGCATGGGGTTCCCACCAAGAAAAAGGGCCAAGAAAGCAGAGAGGGAAACGAGGAGGGGCAGAAGCACGTCTCTGCTTCGCCCGGCTGGACTTCAACCCCCAGCTTGCCCTGCAGAACAAAGAGGTTCCAAATCCACAATGACAGAAATCACCAAACGTCCAAACTGCTGACGTCGTAAACAAAACTTGTCAACAGCCACGAAGAATTCGTTAAAAGTACATTTATTGTTTTCTTTATAAAAAAAAAAACAACAAAAACAAAAAACCGACAGACAAGTGTGCAATGTGTGCTTCTTAAGACAGTGTGCCTCTGGAGGTCATCTCTTCTCGGGCTTCCGTTTGGCCAGGCTAAACGGGAGACACGGGACAGACACACGTTAGTGAGCACAGGAGGGCGCGGGCCGCGCTGCTGGCAGGGGCCTGAGCGGCGGTGCCGGGACCGTGGCGTCGAGCTCTGCGGCCCGGCCCTGCCCCTGGGTCCTGACAACGGGCATCTTCTAAAAAGGGAGAGGCGGCAGTGTACCTGACTTCCACCAAACAAGGCTTCCGACTAACTGACCCGTTTCCTGGTGCGGAACCGAATCAAAACCGTGCACCCCGGCCCAAGGAAGCACTTTCGGTGTGGCTGCAGGATTCAGCTGTGACGGGAGCCAGGATGCATGACTTCACTTTAGCAGCCTGGGTGATGGCCCTGGCTCCCCCACCCCCCCGACTGTGTGCACACCACACGGTGCACCGGAGGCATAGGCCGGGCATGTCCAGGAACCTCCGTGGTTCAGAGGGCAGGGTTCAAGGACATTTGAAAGTGGGCAATTTAATTCTGGGGGCAAAGTAGTATCAAATTACACTTATTTCAGAGCTTAAAAAAAAGGAATACATAATTTTAAACTGCTTCCTATCTGAGAATACTGTCCTAAATATGGACTTTATTATCTTGTTGATCATTTTGATCTGGAGATGGAAACTAACGCAAAAACATGGTGCGTAAAAGCACAGCTGCCTTCCTTTAAAAATGGACACATTTAAGACCTGAAACAACAGATCTCTCCTTCTAAAATAAAGACTTGGCTCCCTCTTTAGTGACAGTTCAGGAGTTGCAGAATGCTAAGACATGTTTCATGTATTAAATCTGAGTAGCCACGCATCCCAGAATCAGATACCTACAAGGGCTCAACGCTTCAGCTCCCCTCTGCCCGCGGTCCTCACATCAGCCAGTCAGCTGCCTGTTTTGTGGAGAAACTCAGTTTCTCAGGTACAAAGCCCTGTCATCAGGGCTATGGCAGCGCCTCAGGTGCAGAGAGGATGGGGCAGACCGAGGAGAAACGCGGACAAATACGAAACGCCTGGCGCTCGTGACTCGATTCCTTACAGGCTGCACTGCGGGAAGGAAAGCCTGTACCACGGCAGCCGAGCACACCACGCGCCCCATTGTGGATAACAGAGGGGCGGCCCCAGAACCGCAGCACCCTCTCCCCGAGCTGTTTACCAACAATCGGACCACGCCTGTGCCCGCCGTTCAGCGTGTGAAGTCGAAAGCCAGGGCGCCTGTCTGCACCAGAGACTAACACACCTACCCCAGGAGCCACGCTTCCCTTGGGTACAGGTTTGAAGGCATGATACATCTATTTGGCACCCAACAAATTTAGCCAAAAATCAAGACAGCGTACGGGGTAGGGACAGGGTGTGCGTGTTTGGGGGCTGCAGGGAGGGACGTGGTGGGGAGGAGAGCCTGTGAGCCTGTTTCTGAAGGAAAACTTACTGTTACTGCCTCAAGCAACTAAAGAGGAAAGCGCTCACGCCCAGAAAGCCAGCGTCGTCCCCCCCCCACCCCCGGCCTAAGTGAGCCAAAGGCCAGAGACAAACTGCAACAACACACACACACACACACGCCCGCGCGCGCGCGCGCGCGCGCCTGCTCCGGACACCTGCAGGCCTCCGTTGGGCACCACACTTCAGTCTCCTCACAAGGCGTTCTAAGAAGTTATTTGCCCAAGCACATTCCAATTAAGCTATTTCAAGGCAACACTGCTAAGGAAATCACATCCTATTCTCCATAAAAGAATAAAGAGACTGATTTTAAAATCTTACTATATTCCCCTGTTATTTAATAAAAAAAGGAAAACATAAAAGAATCAATCTGAAAGTCTGTTAGTCTCAAATAATTAGATCCAGTAGGCACAGAAAGCAGTAAAAAAAATGTTTTGAAAAGTCTAACAATGCTTTGAGCATCTTCTCCGATACTAAGGACATAGCATAATGCTGTGAAGGATTGAGAGCCAAGAGACAATCAAACAAAAAGCTCATTTTAGTCCAACAGAGTATTCTCAACTCATTTTCAAGGAGCAGCATTCGGGAAGCTTCAGCCACTTCCCGAAAGGAAATCACGTTCCAGGGAACCGGACAAGATGCTGCAACCCGCTCACAATAAACCTGCGTTCCCCATGTGGCAGTGTGGCGCTCTCCTGGGAGAAAAGGCTCTGTTCTGTGGAATTCATACACTTTCCGGGGTGACAGCATTCCCTGCGTGGCTGACTTTCAGCCACCAGCATTTAGTGTTAATACAGCACAAACACACCCAGTGTGTAAACAGCCTCAAAGGCAGGGATCGCAGCAAAATGCAGTAAAACAACAAGGGAGTGATGAGTTTCCGTATTAATTACCTTTGCTTTTTATAGAACTGATCTAATTTTTAATAACGTCTGGGTTTAACAACCAGCTGCCAGAATTTCTAAAAATTGAACATTTGGTTCTCATAAGCCAGTGTGGACCGACTCCAGCAAATCATTCCCAAGAAGTGTGGATGTCCGGGATCTTCTTCGTGGCCATTCTTAAAAGACTGGGAGAATGTGAGCTTAGTTTTCAAAAAATAACCTTCAGCCCTTGCACTTAAACACAGAGCCTGATTTTCAAAAATACGCAGGCCTTCGAAGTGACAGTGGGTCATGGCTGGCTCTCACTCTAGGCTGTGGGTACAACCTAGAGAATTCGGTCCAGAAAAAACATCAGAGAGCGTTTTACACAACTTTTCACAAAAAGGGGGTTGGGTTAGGCTGCGCTCAGGGTCCCTTTGAAACAATATAAATTTCACCATGGCCCCCACACTCTCCACCCCTCTGGCCCCCAAAGAAAACGCTACTGTGAAGCCTCTCTTATCCAGGGGCTGCAAGTTACAGGAAAACATTCTGTGTAACTAAAATAATGTATATTATAGTTTGTAAAATAAAAGAAGTTGGCTCATCTGTCATTCCACAGGAGGAGCAGACCACATCCAGCACACACGGTATGGAAGCTGCCACCGTCAGCCTTCAGGGGACGCCGCCCGGGACAGCAGGGCCCAGGAGACGACACTGTGCTCCAGGCTGGGTGGCCAGTCCAAGGGCAGCTTCCCCCCCACTTCACACTCCGATTTAAAGAAGACGGTGGTGCACATTCCCTCAATGTTGACGGATGGGCAGCCGCCCTATTTCTGTGCCAGACGGCGGTGCCCGGCTACGAGCTGTCAGTTTGCATCTGTGGAACAAAGGGCCCTCCGCCTAACACACAGGCTGAGACAAAGGGGCCGTGAGGGCAGGTCCACCTTGAGTGTCCCGGAGGCGGGCTCTAATGAGGGGCGCTCAGAAGGAGCGCTGCGCAAACAGGGAGAACTGAAGGGAAAGACGAGATTCCCAGATGCTGCAGCAGGGAGGAGGGACCTGCGCTCGTGCTGAGCCTGCGGGGGATGCCGTCGGGGAGCCAGGCGAGGGTCACCCACGTCTGATGGCTCCTGCTGCTGCCCGTGACTTAGACGGACCCCCAGGGCACGTCTGCTGGGTGTGCAGCCTGTGGGCTGGGCCCACGTCCTCAACTTGTCTGCGGCTCCCTGAGTTATGGAGCACAAACTCGGGACCATAAATCAGGGAATTCTACAAAAATAAAGACCCTTTTGCACGTTTTGCAATTAAAAACAAAAAGCTACAAGGAAGGGACGCGTGGTGCCGGATGGAGTATTTTGAAGACTCACGTGCCTACACCGTATGTTTTCCATTTTAAACCATCAACTTGATATGTTTAGGGGGTTAATTTATGGAACGATCAAGCGATCTTTGATACTTAACATTAAATACCTGAATATTATCAATCACCTCAGATGAACGTTTACGGGAGAAGTTTCAGAGCAACTTCTGAGTAACTTGTCACTTTTATTGTGCAGCAAGGATTTGTGAAAAATAAATGACCGGCTAAGTAATCCGAGAGTATAATTTAGGGGCACAAAAACAGCCGTCAGGGAGCAGGCAGTGACTACGCAGAATGACGTCTCTACTGACTGAAGTCATAAGTGTTAAATGAACGCATAGCTTCACTGAAGTTCTGTTGGGCTTGTCAGGGACTCACCTTCACAGGCTACCCAACTAAACACCCAGCCGCTGTTCACAGGCACGAAGGAATGAACGAGACCCAGCCCTGCGTCCCCACGCCTGCGACGCCCCGGTGGGGCTCAGACCGCCCCCTCCTTCCTCTCTACCACTGTCTACATGGCTGGCATCTTTCAGGCTCTTTGAAGGGGTGTGAAATAGCTCAGATGACATCCTCAAGAAAGCAAAAGGCCAGGCGAAGCCGGGGAATCAGAGGAGGCGCCAGACCTGCGGCCCTCCCCGGCACCTACCTGAACATTTCGCCCAGGCCCCGCAGCTTCCCCTTCTTGGCTTTGGCCTTCTCCTTCTCCTTGTCCCTGTCTTTCTTCTCCTTGCGCGCTTTCTCCTTTCTCCTGTCCGTCTTCTCTGGGCTGCCGTTCACCTGTCTCTCCAGGGAGTGGGAGGGCTGGTCACTGGCCGTCGACACCGACTCTCGCCCCGATCTCGAACTTTCCTCCGTGTCTTCTTCCACTTGGAAGGAAACAAACGAACAGAGAAGATAAGGGACACAGGGAACCCAAGGAACGAAAATAAGAAGGCTAAAGTCACGTGAGAATTTTCCTTCCCACATTCCCAACAGGGGCGGCAGCGCTGTTTACTTCTGAGTAGAATCAGGAGGAGTGTGGTTGTGCATGACGCTGCCCGTGTGTGCATGTGCCTTGGGGAAGGGGGGCCCTTGTGTGCATGCGCCTGGGGGGAGGGGGCCCTTGTGTGCGTGCGCCTGGAGAGGGGCCTGTGTGCGTACGCCT